GAAGAACACTTTCGCAATGCAAAGAACCCTTTAATCAAGAAAAAGGTTCTTTGGGTGGTCGTACTTCAATATAGAACCATTTTCTTTACTAAAGAGCCCTTGAAGAACCATGTATGATTATGTATTATCATTTGGAATTGCCATTGATAACGGGCATCACCCCACACTGAAATCCTTCAACCAGTGTCTTGTTTTTTTTTCATTTAACAATTAACCACACAGTTTATTGTTATTGTTTAGAAGTGTGCCGCTTGTTAATGCTGAGGTAAACATTCATACGATTATGCTTCGATCCAGGCTATTTGGGGTCATTTTGGGGAAATTACACAGATCCTATACGAAACTGACCAGTCATATCACACACAGACCTCTTCTAATAAAACTAATCCAGCTCAAATAGGGCTGAAGTCTTATATGTTAGCTTATTTCAAATTCACAGTAAATTTCTGACTTCTATGTGTCCTCTGAGTTTTGATTATGTAATCGTGAACCAAGAATTTTAATGACATCATGTTTCACTTGCCTCCTTATTTCACTCCTGTCATTGAGTAAAAATGCTTAGCTACTTCAGGGACCCTCTCTGATTCATGAGTTTCACGCAAAAATATGTCAAACTTGTCTAATGTGAGTCAGTTACATGAACACTAAAGTTTCAAAGCATACCATTCTCTCCCCAGTCCATGCAGTCCACACACACTGAACCTAAGCTGCAAAAACAGCTCATTTAAATTCCACTGTTTATGTAATGTCACTCAACCAACACATTTACATGTAGCCACCTATTCAGCCAACAGCACTTTACCTCTGCCCATTCATGCTGAAGTTATAAGGAGTGTTTCAGCCTGGACTGCTTTTTAAATGAGGCACAGAACAGTGCAATACATGGCAGCCAATCAGAACCGAGATCATTTATCTTATATCAGTGTTGAATACATGGTATCACACTGCGTTTTTCTGAAGGTGGTCTTTTTTCACACTGTTTTTAACACAGCATCTGGCTGTGTGTGTCTCCCTGTTGCTAAGCAACAACAGCATCATAACTGTTACTAAGAATTTCTAGCTGGCTGTCATTTTTATATTTACAGGCAGCTTAACTTCTGCAAATGTAATGCTACTAGCAAAAACAAGCTAAACAAAAATAAAACCTGTGTTTTGATTTCTATCAGAGGAGGACTGCAGCCAAAAATCCCTCCTCCATTACACCTGTCACTGAAGGCTTGTCTTACCTTAGATCTAATTGGCCAGCCTAAAAAAACTGTTATTCACTGTTAATACAGTAACAGTGAATTCTTGTAAAAGTAATGCAGCACAGCATTTACAGTAATTTTATTGTCACATTCTGGCCTTTCAGACTGGAATTCAAAAGTACATTAAACACTATAAAAGATCCCATAGCCTGATTTTAAAAAAAATATGACCTATGATGTGATCAGATCATAAAAAATAGACAGAAAAATAGACAGACAAAAGACCCAATACAACAAAGTCTAACACAATAATGTACCTTTTAATTCATTTATTAATCAAAATGATCCAACATTAAATGTCTTTGTTGGAAAATGTGTCTACCTCTACATTCAGTAATTGAATTTTGAACCATTCCTCCTTATAGAACTGCTTCAAGTCAGTGATGTTAGTGGGCTTTCTTCTGTGAATTCCATTGGACTATTACCGAACGTGTAATTTCTTCTTTATTTGGTAGACCTACTGGTGTTTACAGGGTCGTCGTCTTGCTGCAAGTTTGTGGACGGGTGCTCGGGATATTGTACTGTAGAATTTGCTAAACCAAACCAGAATTTATAGTACCATCACTGATGGCAATACATCCTGATTGCAGGGCAGCAAAACAGCCCAAACCATCATACTGCCACCATCATGTTTCACAGTTGAGATAAGGGGCCTATGCTGAAGTGCACTGTTCTGTTTTTACTCAACATCATGTTTCACATGTAAACCAGGTAACATTCTCCTTGAAGAGTATGGTGGACTTATAAACACTGACATAAGCCAGTGCAAGATAGGCCTGCAGATACTTAGATATTATGCTGGGGTCCTTTGTGTTCTCCCAGAATATTATACATCTTTCTCTTGGAGTAATATTGGTTGGACAACCACTCCTGGCAAGACTACAAAGGCCAAAGACAAAGGGTTGGCGTAGTGTAGTGGGTAACGCCTCTGCCTTCTTCGCTGTAGACTGGGGTTCAATACCCGCCTGGGTAGTCACCCTACACTATACCAATAAGAGTCCTTGGGCAAGACTCCTAACACTACCTTTGCCTACCTGTGTGAAAATGATCAAATTGTAAGTTGCTCTGGATAAGAGCGTCTGCCAAATGTCATAAATGTAAGGGCCTGACAGTAGATTGATGAAGTACAAAGAGAATCTGCCTGACAGTGAATTTGTGAAATTCAAACTGCTCTAAAATTGTTTTGTAACCTCTTTCGGCCTTTTGTTTTGTAAATAGGGCAGAGCCACCCAAAGTCACATCTGGCTGTCATTCAATTGATTGAACCTCCTGAGTCTGATTGATTGAACTGTCCTCTATACTGAACAGATCATCCTAGAAATTCACATACTTTTTCCACCATAGACATTTAATATGAGATCAGTATGTTCATCCGGGATATCTATGAACTTGCATGCAACTTTGCGCAAAAAAGAGGCTTGTCTTAGTTACCCGCGATTCAGACCCTGCAGTACCCATCTAACCATTATTTTTTCAAATACGTATCTTGTTTGGCTGTGGATTGTGCTTTTAGGTTACATTATATTGCAGTTGACAGCATATTTGCCCCCATAAAGTGCAATCTGCTTTATCAATCAGCACATTCTGTCCGAGGTTAAGACTAGGGTTAGGATTAGGTTTTGGGTTGAGGTTAATGTTAGGGTTAGGTTTTGGTTTTGGGTTGAGGTTAATGTTAGGGTTAGGATTAGAGCCAGAGTGAAGGTCAGGATAAGGCTTGGGTTGAGGTTAAGTTTAGGGTTAGGATTAGGTTTTGGGTTGAGGTTAAGGTTAGGGTTAGGATTAGGGCCAGATTTAGGGTTGAGGTTTTGGGTAAGTTTGGGTTTTACTTGATGGAAGTACCATAACAAGTCTACTTCATGCAACATATCAACACTACATCTTCAAGATATTTACCTCAATGTATTCAGAGGCTGCACTACTTTACTGTTACTTTTCTGATACTTTACTGATACTCCATTAAGAGTTTATTAATCACCTATAAAGGACCATTCAGAATATAGTGTTACCGCATATTCTATTGCCAGATTTTTCCAATTTTTTTAATGCTAAGATGTAGATCTGATGACATTTTAGGAATGCAAAAACGTTTTGACTCACAGTAGTCTAGATTTCCTCACACCACTATATTTAAGATTTGAGGCACATTATGATAGATTATGTCCCACCACACAGCCACATTCACACAGATTAGCTCTGTAATACAATTTAACTTGAGCAGTAATCCACTCCAAATGAGTCCCTGTTTTAGTACATTAAATATGACAGAGAAAAGAGCTGTTTATGTGAGTGTGTGTGTAGAGGGTGGGGGGTGGTGTAGGAAAAAAGTGTAATATTTAATAAGTACAGGGTGGAGACGGATGGGTGGAGAGAAACTGCGTGCTAACTGGATGATTCATGCTTGAATGTTGTCTTTGTGGTGAGTAGAGAAAATATTAGCAAGAAGCTGGATGATATCTCAGTTTTGGATTAGCAGCCAGGATCCTCATAGAGCTACAGTGATTGTCATGCTAGTTGCTACACCATTAATGGAAGTTAAAAGGATTTGGGCAGATTTTATAAAAGTAAAAGTGACACTCAGGGATGGCAGATATTGCAATATATATCATTAATTTATGAAGGAAGGCTCAATTTCCAGTTAGAGTTAAGGCCTAGTAATTTAAAACACATGATGCAGCAGCTACATTTAAAGACAGAGTGTCAGATGTACATACAAGTGCAGACACAGCACAAAAACTGTCTTAATGGGACCACAATATGGGTGATTTAATGTGGGCTGAAGCCCATGGACCCCACATAAATCAGGGCCTCTAATTGGCAAGCAGTGATCAACAAGTAGTGTCTCACATCCTCTTTTACAACATTTAGAGAAAAACTCATGGCATGAAGTGAGCAAAGCTAGCTAAAAGCCATTGCTAAGGTTGACTGTATTCCTAAACAAGGCGGCTGCGATTTACTATTATCAGTGGCTAACTGGAATTGTTACTGGAAGCAGCTCTCTGAGGTGCTAACCATTTAACTTTGATTGCTAACTGCTATGAGTCAAGCACTTGTAGCCAGCTAGCCTAGCAGTACAGTTTCGAGTTCGCACATGTAACAAGTTATGCTTTTTTAAAACACAAATTCTTTTTCAAAAGAATTTAAAGCAGGTCCTTAAAAAAATCAGCTCTTATTCACTCACTCAATACAGAATCTACTCCTATGCCCCAGAAGTGATTATCCCTGACACGTTTACCTGAATCTGCTGTGATGCGGTAAATATACCAGAACCTTGTTATAGTGTGTTATAGTGCATTACAGTATTCATGTTTACCATGTTCTTATGGATAGACAATATAATGCATTATGAAACCTGACATTATTAAGTTTTATACTCTTATTCTATAACATGTTATGCATGTCACTACAAACTAGCAATTATACAAGCACACAACAGGAATTATGTATGCCATTAAATGCCTCATACATTCACTTATAAAGCATTATGAATACAGGATTTACAGGAAGTGTTGCCCTGTTTATTATTTCTTACATGAAGAAAATGTTTTCTGCTCTTTACATTGTTTTACACCATTTACATTTAATAACTAATTGTCCAAAATGACTTTCACATCAACAGATGTCTGGTTAAGAGCACATCTTCTCCTATAAAGCTACCTTTTCAGAGATTCTGAGAAGCTCTGCCTGTGGCTCTCTGAGGAGCTGATTTAAGCTCTGACCTTGTGGTGTTTGTATTTTGTCTGTTGCACTGATCAGACAGAGAATGAGCTGAGGGAGGTGTGGATGGAGGAGAGGATGATACACGAGTGGAGGAGAGCGGAGGTGCCTCTGAGGAACCTGAGGAACTTTGAGCTGATCTTTGAGGCGGTGAGGGCCAAAGACGTGAGTGGCGGAGCGGCTCTGGATGACCTGGAGTTTATTGACTGCGCCCGCAGTGAGTAACACACAAACTCAAACGCAAAGAGCAGCCCACATATTCAGAGGTAATATTTTCACAAACACAGTCTGAGTACTAATGGCCTGCACAGTTCAGTGGTTTCCTTGCTTCAAGCAGACCTGATTCAATCGAGTCCACTATAATTATCCAATGAGTTGCGTCAAGTGCATTAGAGCACTTCACAGAGCAGCGCAGTTTACTCCAGGACTCAGATGTGAGTTCTTTTGTGTGGACCAGCTTGACATAATTTTCCAGTGCATTACATTAACATTTATGGCAATCTGGCAGATGTTCTTATTCAGAGTGACTTAATTTAATCGTAGTGCAGAGGTATGTCAATGTAGTAGTAGCAGTCGTGCCCAAAGACTCTTATTGGTGTAGCATGGTGTGCTTGTGAATAGGACACATCAGCCACGTTGAGGGCATGTAAAATCACCCACTACACAATACCAATGCCCAAATTACATTAATAATAATAATCATTTTTATTTATATAGCACTTTTCATGCTGGTGGCAGCTCACAGTGCAAAACATTCCAATATTAAAGTCTCCAAGTACTTAAAGAAATGTTTTTTATGCAACCCAAATAGTGAGGATGCATCACTTATTGACTTCCCAAAAAGAAACAATATCATTTATTGCAGTTTTATCACTGTCATTGCTCGTGAATCTCAGCTATAAGGCTATAGCAGCAATTCCGCTTTCTGTGTTTTTGAACAAACCAGAAAAAAAGCCAATTTTGAATTCATTGTTTTTGTCATGTCACAAAAATATAACAATTTAAATACATAAATTAGTGGGTATGGCTGCTATTGCCTTGTACATTGTCTGTAAATTTTATGATGAATGGACCAAAACAAATGGCCCTAAATTAGTTGGAAAAAAGTCTGGTTCCATTGACTTACATTAAAAGTACAGTATGTTTTTTTCCTTCTCCTGTAAAGTTGCCATTTTGGAGATATGAGGTTTTGTTCCAACAACAACTGTGAGATATATATATATATAAATATATATATATATATATATATATATATATATATATATATATATATATATATATATATATACTATATTGCCAAAAGTATTCACTCGTCTGCCTTCACACGCATATGAACTTGAGTGACATCCCATTCTTAATCCATAGGGTTTAATATGATGTCGGCCCACCCTTTGCAGCTATAACAGCTTCAACTCTTCTGGGAAGGCTTTCCACAAGGTTTAGGAGTGTGTTAATGGGAATTTTTGACCATTCTTCCAGAAGCGCATTTGTGAGGTCAGACACTGATGTTGGACGAGAAGGCCTGGCTCGCAGTCTCCACTCTAATTCATCCCAAAGGTGTTCTATCGGGTTGAGGTCAGGACTCTGTGCAGGCCAGTCAAGTTCTTCCACATCAAACTCGCTCATCCATGTCTTTATGGACTTTGCTTTTTGCACTGGTGCGCAGTCATGTTGGAACAGGAAGGGGCCATCCCCAAATTGTTCCCACAAAGTTGGGAGCATGAAATTGTCCAAAATCTCTTGGTCTGCTGAAGCATTAAGAGTTCCTTTCACTGGAACTAAGGGGCCGAGCCCAACTCCTGAAAAACAACCCCACACCATAATCCCCCTACCAAACTTTACACTTGGCACAGTGCAGTCAGACAAGTACCGTTCTCCTGGCAACCGCCAAACCCAGACTCGTCCATTGGATTGCCAGACAGAGAAGCGTGATTCATCACTCCAGAGAACACGTCTCCGCTGCCCTAGAGTCCAGTGGCGGCGCTTTACACCACTGCATTCGACGCTTTTCATTGCGTTTGGTGATGTGAGGCTTGGATGCAGCTGCTTGGCCATGGAAACCCATTCCATGAAGCTCTCTATGCACTGTTCTTAGCTAATCTGAAGGCCACATGAAGTTTGGAGGTCTGTAGCGACTGACTCCGCAGAAAGTTGGCGACCTCTGCGCACTATGCGCCTCAGCATCTGCTGACCCCACTCTGTCATTTTACGTGGCCTACCACTTCGTGGCTGAGTTGCTGTCATTCCCAATCGCTTCCACTTTGTTGTAATACCACTGACAGTTGACTGTGGAATATTTAGTAGCGAGGAAATTTTACGACTGGACTTGTTGCACAGGTGGCATCCTATCACGGTACCATGCTCGAATTTACTGAGCTCCTGAGAGCGACCCATTCTTTCACAAATGTTTGTAGAAGCAGTCTGCATGCCTAGGTTCTTGGTTTTATGACACCTGTGGCCATGGAAGTGATTGAAACACCTGAATTCAATGATTTGGATGGGTGAGTGAATACTTTTGGCAACATAGTGTATATATATATATATATATATATATATATAAAGCATGTTTCAGCCTTGACTGCTTTCTGGATGAGGTACATTACAGAACAGCCAATCAAAACAGAGCTCATTCACAGGAAAATAAAAAAGACCTAAAAATAAATATGACTTAAGGTGCTTTTCTATTTGTAGTTCAGCTCCCCTGGTCCAAACCAAAATAGGAAATGCAATATTGTTTCTGGTTCACTTATGGTTCTCACTGACATATTTGACATTCAACCAAATGTTGTAAACAAAGGTCATGTGTACAAAAAATGTCACTAATTGACTAGAATGTATGATGTACATTTGGCACGATTAACTGCGATAATATTTACTGAACATTCTAAACTATAGAATTATTGGCACCCCTCAATAAACTGGGCAAATTCCAATCATGTAAAGTAATAAATAGATATAATGAATCACATGTTCCTCACAAGTCTTGAGAGAACCTGTAAGAGTGTTGTTTTATTTTAGTGTATTCTTTCAAAAAGGTCATGGTGCAAAATTATTTACACATCTAATAAAACTCTTTATTCTTATTGCTTCCAATCTTTTAGGAACTCTATTGTTGTTTATGCCTATTTCCTGTTTCCCTGTGGTATAAATATGAGGTTACATACCTCCCCCATGTGCAGTGCTAAAGAGAAACACAAAGATCACAGTTTCAGAACTGCACAGTTCAGCTGAAACTTGGGGTTTTCAAATTTCAAAATCCACTGTAAGACACCACCTCCATGACCAGAAGCTTTTTGGAAGAGTTCCACAAAAGAAACCTTTCCTAAGAGCAAGCCACAAAATGCAGAGCCTGAACTTTGCTAAATGTCATTGGAACTACAAGTGTAATCGTGTGATGCGTTCAGATAAGACAAAATTTGACTTTATCGGTCACACACTCCAACTTCACATTTGGTGAAAAAAGGACTGCATACAATGAAATGCACCTGATATCCCCTGTCAAATATGGTGGTGGATCACTGATGCTTTGGGCCTGTTTTACTGCTAGTGGTCTAGGGGCTATTGTGAAAATCAATGGCATAACGAATACCAGGAGACTTCAGTCCTCTGCTAGAAAAAAGAAGCTGTTGGTGGACTTTTCAGCAAGATAGTGACCCCAAACACACATAAAAATCCACACAGAGATGCACATGGGAACAAAAAAAATCAAAGTTTTGCCATGGTCAGTCTCCAGGTTTGAATCTAGTTGAAAACCTGTGGTGTTTTGAAAAGGGCAGCCCACAAGCAACAACCCAAGAAGAACAAGGAACTGGAACAATTCTGCATGGAGGAGTGGTTCAGGATCCCTCAACAAGTGTTTTCTAACCTTGTCAAGCATTACAGAAAGCAACTCAGCACTGTTATTCTTGCCAGGGGAGGCTTAAAACTAATAATAGGGGTTGTAAAAATAAAAATATGTAGCTTACTTATTTGTCCAGAATATTACTTATTACGTGTGGTTTATTTTATATATTGATTGTAGGTCATTTTCCAAGTCCAAGTTGCCAATAATTCTGAAGTTGACTGTATGTGTGGTGATATTCTACAACAGTGAACCTGCATTATCTTGGTTTTTGCATGATGTGAAGTAGTATGAAATCACTATAGCACACAGCCTCAAGTGACTTACTGCTTTTATAAGTTGGTGAAATTGTGGCGCATTAATACACAAAATAACTGAAGTGTTTGCTCATGTCTGAGACTCTGTTCCATCATTTGGAATTCAACTGACGCCAACCTCCTCGCATTTATTTGGTGCATGATTCGAATGACAGTGTTCTCATGTTCTAAGGAACTACACTAATGGAGCATATACCCCAAAGTTCACTTAAATTGAAACAAACCTGCCATGTGTGAACACGCTCTAAAAGACAGTACAGCATCATCACCTGATCAAAATTATTAGAGCTGATTGCAGTTGTTGAGGCTGATTGCAGTGCTTTTCCATAGTCTTGACTGCTCCAACTGGTGCTATAACACCTCTAGAGGGCACTAATGAGTAATTTTGTTTTTCTGAGCTCAGGCTGTCTTCTGTTGGCAGCTACTAACTTTTGACAGCTAGGAAGTAAAATAGCTAATCAGCTAATTTGGATAATTTGGCTTAGACTTGTATTTCAGTAGTTGCACAAAATGAACAAACACAGACAATGAAATTGTTAATCGCAGTTATGTATATAACAATTAATCATCAGCTAAAACTTCATAATCGTGATAGGCCTGTTTCATTCTGTAGTTATTGTTGGTTGTTCTGAACTCAATGTTATATACTTCATTTTAGGGATTTGACGATGCTCATATTCTCAAGTATGATATTGACTGTCAATTCTGAGAAAAAAGCCCAGTAATTTGAGTGTGACATATAACATAAGCCCTGCCTCCACCCCACCCATGTTGCTCAGAATGCACCCAGTTACCTAGGTTTGGTCAAGGAGAACAACTAGGAGGCCCTCAGAAGAGACAGGAGGGTGTATGGACTTTTTAAAGTTTAGATTCACTGTTTCAAATTCATTTTTTTTAAACTGTATTGATGTCATGACACCCTTACTTTATCTTATAGTCTATACTATTGTCTGAAAAGTAGTATTATCTGCCAGAGGAACCGTGTTCCATTCCTCATTTAACACTCAGCTTTGATGGGAAAGAATGACGATAAAGTTTGACTTGACTGGAGAAAAACAC